CCTGAGGCTTCTTGTGCTGACACATGATAACCAGCCTCACGGACCGTCAACACATCGGAGGGCGTGGGGTGATAACTATACTCCTTACGAGCAGGATAGTTGATGAACGTAGCAAATCGTAGTTTTTTCTTTGGGTGACCAGAGGTAGAACTACAACGCAAAGAAGATTTACTAGGAACATGTTTCATGGCCTGCATCCCAAGTAAAACCCTACGTTTTGTTGGAACTAGGGTCCATTCCTGCTGGCATTCACCCTGCCAGAGGCGAAATTCTTTCTCCCAATCTGGACCACCATGGCCCCAAAGATGAAGATAGCACTTGAAATGATCGCAGACAAAACTACGCTGATGTAGAATGAAAAACCCCACTTGCTTGCAGGAAACCATGAAAGAAAAAACCCGATCATTGAGGTACGATACCTTGAGATGAGAGCAATAACCACCAATTGCAGATTCAAGAGCGAGGCCAACATTATCCTCATCCAGACAAAAAGAGTGCCGGGCAAAAGAGACCACCATCGTGAAGTGACCCGAGTCAAAGGTCAGATGCACAGATCTGTTGAACGTGCACTGGATCTCAGCCGCCAAAGCCATCCCCGGGCTAAAGTCCAAGCCCAAGGAGATGGAAGCATGCACCGCCATGGAGAAGACAACCAACAAGGAGAGCAACGTGCGCCAGAGAGGGTGGTGCGATCCGATGTGTAAACCCATGGTCGGGTGGGCTGATCGCCGGTGGGGTGGAGGGCTAGGGTTAAGGTGGCAGCGGGGTGGAGGTGGGAGCCATCGCTCGTATCATTGTTGGCTGTCGAATTTGCGATATAATCCAGCGCTACATTTGTGTCTTCATCACTTTGTCCTCCCGCACAATCAGCGGAACAGAGCAACTCCCATGATATGCTCATTTATCTCTTGGAGTGATTCAAACCTAGTAAGCCTGCTAATTATGCATGCATCATGGTAAGAAGTTTCAGTTTTCTCACTAATGCATCTCAATTGGTAAGGATAGAACAATGTCAGTTTCCTTTGTATTGGTTCTTCCTTCAAGGAAATCTAATTATCTAGGCAGTATGTAAAGTAGGCAAATTATGTAACTATTTGGGCTTACTCATGCTCTGCTATATAGATTCAGGAGAAAGAGTTATTTTATTCACCCATCCTATTCTTTTATCTATAATGATGATTAATTTTTTCATCTTGTGATCTTCTTTGCTCCAGTTGTGCTAATATTTCATTTGCACATCAGTGGGACTAAAATTTTCCTGATACCATGAGTCATGGTAGTAGGTTGCTGCAACAAAAAAACTGGTGAGCCCCCAAGGAGAAGAAAAGTGAAAAGGTCCCATCCTGCTTACGATGTTTAATCTTAAAATTTTGGCTTGAATTTTGTTTCTAACCTATATCTGTCCATGGTTACTTTCTCCAAACATGCTTTAGCTATTGCATTGGTTAACTGACTTGAACACAGCTCACACGAGTCACCGCCAAATGGCCCTTTTTTAAAATTCTTTCTGTCGTACACTAAAGAGAGCAGTTCGGATTGCCAGGGTTTGAGGTGTATATTTTAGTGTGCCACTTAAAGGACAAGGTTGTTGTTTGGTAATTTTCTACTTTTGTATACAATTTCACTTTTATTCCACTCATTTAGCTTGACTATAATTAGAAGTGGATAAAAAATACACATCAGTTTGTCAAAATACATGTTGGTTATCTTATGCACGAGTATAGCTATCACCAGAGCACAAGAAAATATGTTTCAATTTTTCCTTGAAGCAAACATATATTATAATTTATCGCATTTTGATCTAGGAGCAATGGTTAACTTTAGTAGATGGTTACTACAGTCTGCACCTGTCCTTAGATGTAGTTTGATTTACAATTTTATTCCTATTTCCTTACCCTTTGATTCAGAAGTGCGGGCTGCCTAGCAAGGAATCTGAGGTGCAAGACGTCCTTGTAGGAGCAGTCGAGCAGAAGATTATTCGTAGCTTCTTGGATGAAGGAGGCTTTATTACATTGCCGGTGTTGTTGACTGGATCGGGGTGCTGCATACTAGATAAACCCGGCGGCTGCTGGATTCGACCCCCCTTGGATCCACTAGCTTGATGCTCTCCACCACCGTTGTGCCCACCATGGCGGCCAGCAAGGCGTGGCTTTGGGTTGTCCCCGTATGGCGGCCTCATGTCGGTGACGATGTACAGATCTACGCCCTGCACCTTCGGCCAGCTCCTTGCTTCTAGACGAGGCGTCCTCTGCATCGTAGTCATCTTGAGTTGCTGGCTCCTCCTTCGGGATCGAGTTGACCTCCATCTTGCTCTGCCACGGAAGATCTTCAGTCCCTGGCATATGTGTTTTCCATGTTGTGCTCCTACTGCCGTACGGTGGCGGCATGTCGGTGGCGACGTACAGCTCTACGCTCTCCGCCTTCGGCCAGCTCCTTGCTTCCGGACAAGGCATCCTCTGCATTGTATTCATCTTGGTTGCTGGCTCCTCATTCGGGATCGATTTAACCTCCATCTTGCTCTGCCATGGAAGGATCTTCAGTCCCCTGGTACATGTGTTTTCCATGTTGTCGCTCCTACTGCCCGGCTGTGTTTGTCATTGGTGGCATGAGATGCGCACTCTATATGTAGATGAAATGGGCGGTTGCAGGCTGTTGGAACCGCAGCCCTCTAGCTACCTCTCCTCACAATCGAACGGAGGTGGAAGAAGATGAACAGTAGACGAGAATTTTCCGGCAACGAACGCCCCGGCCGCCGAACGGCCTGTATGTTTGCTACTATTCAACTCAACTACAAAACACTTACATGGAGGTACACATGCAACACAACCTAGAAGAACTCTCACGTCGACCAGGCGCACACCACGGTCCCAACGGAGACTACATCTTCCTGGCTATTCCCCTGCTTTACACAGCTAATGAACATGGCTTTATATTGGTAGCCGTACGCACGCACACAGGGCCGGCCGCTCCACTCGCCACGCACGACCCGGCCACGATCTGCATGCAGCGCCAACGGATGCACGTTCAGCGCATGCACAACTTTCTCTCAACGGCCAGCCTCACGTACTCATCCATTCCCTGAAACTAGCTAACTACTTGCATGCAGCTAATAGCCTCAAACCGAAGCACAGGTGCACACATGCCGTACATGACACATGGTCAAGATTAAGTCTAACATTTTCCCTCCTAATTTTGACATGACTCATCAATGGCCGTCCTTCTTCCTCGACGACACACGCCAAGCTCCGCCGGCGACACACGCCTGGCGCTCCTCCACGCCCCGCACGTCCCGCGCACACCCGATGAGCCCGACCGCACTAGTGCGCCCCGCACGTCCCGCGCGCATCCGACACGCCCGACGAGCCCGACGGCACCAGACGCTCACTGCGTGCCTCCTCCGCGTCCGCCATGGCAGCCGCCACGCCGCGCCTCCATGCCACGCACCTTCCACGGCTGTCGCCCCGAGCCGTCGCGACCTCTGCGCCACCGCGCAGGTCCTTCGCGACCTCCTCGTCTCCGCGACCGCCGTGCCCTTCGCGCGCACTCCCCACGTCCCTGCGCTCCCGGCCCGCGCTCCCACCGCGCATGTACGCGATCTGCGCAACCAGGTCCAGTGCCTCGACGCGGTCCACTCCCGCGGTCCGGACGTGCCCGACACGTCCAGTGCGCACCCATAACACACACCGGTCACGCCCGGCTCGCCACCGCGTCTTATTGCCCTACACCGCCGCGGCCTCCATGCCGCCATGACGTGCTGCGCCGCCGCGCCACCACGCAACGCCTCGGCGGCCTCCGCGGTCGCCGCACGCACGACGTCACCGCCCGCCGCATCCGCCACGCGCCATGAGAGTCACAGCGCCGCCCACCTCCATGGGCCGACACACGGCCCGGAGCTCCATCGCGCAGCCTTCGGCAAAAGGCGACACCCAAGATGAAACCGGCTCATGATACCAAATGTTGGAACCGCAGCCCTCTAGCTACCTCTCCTCACAATCGAACGGAGGTGGAAGAAGATGAACAGTAGACGAGAATTTTCCGGCAACGAACGCCCCGGCCGCCGAACGGCCTGTATGTTTGCTACTATTCAACTCAACTACAAAACACTTACATGGAGGTACACATGCAACACAACCTAGAAGAACTCTCACGTCGACCAGGCGCACACCACGGTCCCGACGGAGACTACATCTTCCTGGCTATTCCCCTGCTTTACACAGCTAATGAACATGGCTTTATATTGGTAGCCGTACGCACGCACACAGGGCCGGCCGCTCCACTCGCCACGCACGACCCGGCCACGATCTGCATGCAGCGCCAACGGATGCACGTTCAGCGCATGCACAACTTTCTCTCAACGGCCAGCCTCACGTACTCATCCATTCCCTGAAACTAGCTAACTACTTGCATGCAGCTAATAGCCTCAAACCGAAGCACAGGTGCACACATGCCGTACATGACACATGGTCAAGATTAAGTCTAACACAGGCTACTGCTGGTACATGCAGAGGAGGATTAGGATTGCATAAATGATTAGGAGAGCTCACTTGATTTCTTTGGGTCTCAATTAGTTAAACCGTGAATTGATATTTGTTTCTTGCTGCAGGAGCTTCAAGCAACAAAGCCATAGGCTTCACGGCAACACATTCTATGATTTTCTTCCCAAATCTGAAACTATTTGGCCCCTAAATTGTAGTCCCCTTGAGAAAGTCAGAGTATTGGTGGTCTGGTCTATGGATGTTGACAAATTTGATTGCAGCCGGGACCGCAAAGAAAGTGTAGTGCTCTTCATTGTAGATATCTGCAGGGCAACATCAAATTTCAGTGACAAGAACATGGCCAGGCAGGGAGCTTCATGCATCATTGCATGTGGGTATTCTTTACTATTATGAATTGTTTTTTGTTTCTTGGAGACACTAACCTAGTAGCTTCTTATTAGTGCCTAGCATGGTAAAAGAGCAATATTGTTGTGCCTTTCTTGGAATCAGGTTCTCCTATTCCATATGGCCACTCTCTTCCGCAAGCGCTGTCCCTGGCAAAAGTTTAGTGAGCAGTGCCTACTGGAGTCGCAGGACTCCTGCTACCCGGAGGAGCAATATTTACAGACACCGCTCGACGTGACCGACCCCGCCGGCTGCACCTGGTACACGCTCACATGCATCAACTATACTGACAGTGTCGACGGTGACCCACAGACTTATGGCGTGCCAGAGGTGTCGCTGCTGCTCACTGCCAAGCAACATCAGTCCAACAACTCCACCTATGAGCAAATGTTCGCGCGCAAGTTTGCGCCTGACTGCCTTGGCCCGCTCATGGTCATCGCGTACACTGTCATCTTCAAAGATTGATCGATGTCTTTCTCTGCACCATAGCTGCACGTAGGAGGTACGTTCTGGCACCTTATTTCTGAAAAGTTTCAGAGGTTCTAGACATCACTTCTTCTTGTTAATGCTCGTTAGGCATGCATGCCATGTTAATCACAAATTTGCAGCCGATAGATGGTCGAAACATATTGCGAATGTCACTTCACTCCCTGAATTCGTTTGAGATGCTGCAGCACCTTATGAGATAAGATGACTGAAGAACACTAAATACTTAATTTGGGAAAATCTCCTACCTGATTTAGTTTCTGAATGTAAGCATGTTGCTTCATGTAATTAGTGAAGAAATCAGCAACTTGACTAATTAGCTTCTTCAATCAGATTTAAATCATGGTTGTATTTGAAGTTTATTTTCACAAGTGATATCTGACAAAAAGGTGTCTAATGGCATGGCCAAGGTCGATTCTTTTGATACTGGCATGATTATGTTTTCAATTCCATGGAGCTTCGTAATTACGGCCTATAATTCTACACTTACTACTATAAGTCATTGTTCTACGAAACAATTATTAGTTTGCGTGTATCTGTCATAGAACATTCTTACATGTTGATATCATCTCTATACTATAAAATTACTCACGCACCTTCCGACTTATTTTCATAGACGATGTGATGCCATGCATTATGATCTTATACAAATGAGGGGGTGTTTGTTTACAGGGACTTATTTGTGTAGGGACTTAAAAAAGAAACATGTAGAGACTTTTTAGGGACTAGCGACTTTTTAGTTGAGACTAAAAAAAGTCCTAGGACTTATGAACCAAACAGGGCCTAAATAGAAAAAAGTGGTTGCCTTTCATACTCGTATTTGTATAGTTTTAGGAGGATGGGAAATCTATGCATGGAAACTTATTAGTGCCATTCCTAAAAATATCTTTTCCGACAATCCAATGATAACCTACAAAAAAGAAACATGCAGAAACTTCCATATGTGGGTATGAATTAGATGATAAAGTTCATACAAATTTAGGAGCACAAAAAAAATCTATTTATGAGATTTCTGGGTGGCACCCTATGATATCTTTCTGAGTATTTAAGTCGTAATGCAATCATATGATAAATGTACAATCAAAAGATAAAACACACAAAAAACATATATAAAACTTTAGATATAGCGTAATCATGTGTTCTTGTTTCATAGCAAAGGGGATAAATTTTAGGAGGAAGGAGAGATGAGGTGAGTTTCTGAAGTTCACCATACAATCCAAGCATCACAAAAGGTGACATTACAAATCCAGGAGATGAAGAATTAACCCGTTAATTTCCTTTTAAAGGAAGGGAGTAGCTTGTGGAGGAAGGCCCTCACATCTAGCTCGGTGAGATTAGTTTTCTTTAAAATACATTTCCTTGCGCTAGAGCGGTTGAATGACAGGTGCTTGTGGTAGATGAACTAAGCGTCATGGATTTGAGCATGCTAAAAGGCATCGTGATCTGGTGAAAACCACAACCACCGTAGGTGAGGACGGGTGGAGGATAAGCAGTCACATGGGTAAGGTAGCACATTAAAATAGAGAGCGTTTGGGTGGGACATGCGCTATATTTTTCTCTCCCGTTGCAATGCACGGGCATGTTTGCTAGTATGATTAAACAGATGATCACATAAGTATCTCATGAGCATAACACAAATTGTAGCATAGGAATAAAAAAACCAAATGACCAAAGTAGCAAGAGAAGCAAATGAAACCAACCAACAAAAACAAGAGGCTCTCTCTCTCTCTCAGCTTATGATCTATACACTTTCTCCCCCTTTGGCAACAAGTTACCAAAAAGTTCGAAAATGTATAGTGCTATACGACACTCTAAGCATGATCTCCAGGAGCTCCTGAAGGGGTTTCCTGGCTTGCTGCTCCGGTGTGCGTAGATGGCATGGAGAGGAGTCCCTCTGCAAATGCCTTAGAAGAAGTCTGTGGAGCTGGAGGAGTTGACACTGGAGGTACAACTGTGGCAATGGCCGCAGGTGCTGAAGTGTTAGTCCTAGAGTGTTTGGCAACTAGCACAGCTGATGATCTTTGTGGCCTTGGAACTCTCTGGAATGTCTCTATTGTGCATCTATCATCCATGTCCTCAGCATCCTCTTGAAGCTTCTCCACAACAATTTGAATCTCAGTGACCTTCACATCTAGGTCATGCATCTTAGTCTCAATGATCCTCTCAAGACTCTCCTGATTTTGGGACAAGGTGGCAAAGCTCTTCACAATTCTCACGGCGGCCTCAAGTAGATAACTGAGTTGATCTTGCTTGGTCTTGAGATTCGTAACTGAAGCATCTGGGGCACTTGCTGCCTTTGCTGCTTTTGCAGCCTTTGCTTTCTCTATCTTCTCCTCGACTTCTCCACAAGTAGGAAGTGAAGCATCCATGACAACCTCGTTGTCCTCAAAGTCTGGCCTCGGGGGAAGATGCCCTCTGTCTAGTAGATATGTTCTAGTTCCCATCTTGGAGTTGATCAAAGTCCGAATGTGAGGGGCATATCCACAAGACCTCTTCTGGTCTGCCGTTGTTCTCTTCATAGTATCTACAATCAAGCTCATCACCTTGAATTTATGTGGGACATAAAACAAGTGAAGCAGGTTGATGGAGTGGCCACGAATCATCCTATGATCTCCTAACTTGGGAAAAAGAGTGTGCCTCAAGATGGTGTTCATGGTGGTCAGACCAGCAAGCAAATAGTATATAGAACCAAACTTGTGTGTGTCCAATGCTACATCAAGGATTGGCTTGTAGATGTTAGCCATGGGGTTGTGATCCTTCCTAGGCTTACTGTACACATCAAGATCATCCTCTTATTCCTTGGGGGCATTGATCAACTTGGCCCATTCTGAGATTATTGACTGATATTTGGTGCCTTCTGTCATGCATACTATCATTCCATTAGGGTAGAAGTGAGTTGTGGAGTAGAACTGCATTATCATTTCATCATTCCACTTTGTCAACTTCTGACCAACAAAATTTTCAACACCATTCATCATGAAGCTTTCATGCACATGTGGAAAGTAGTCTTCATTGGAGTGAATGTATTTCTAGTCCACCCATTTCATGTCACAGATAATGGGCTTCTTGTCCAAAAGAACAATCTCATAGAAGTCCTGCTGTTCTTTGGTGTGAAAGTGATAGTCCACAGCAGTCCTTCTCCTAGTGGCATAAGGATTAGTATTCCTCCATTGTATCAGACCTACATCCTTTCTCAACTTCATGTTCTCTGCCACATGATGACCATCATTATGATCTGGAATCTTTGGCTTGAGTTTCTTGAGCACTAGTGGCTCTCCTTCTTCTTGAACTTCAGGCACTGGGGCCTTGTTCATTTCAGCGGCTGATATATTCCTTGTAGATCTCTTTGGAGCAGTTGTCTTGTGGGCTTAAGCTGGAGCTAAAGGATTGGGGCAGGCTTGGGCTTAGAAGGAGCAGCCCCAGTCCTCATGGCATCCCCCTTCAGCTTCTGTGTCTTGGCAGGAGGTGCAGCAGGCTCTTCCTCCTCCTCTTCTTCTTCCTCAACCATCATCATGGATGGTCCGCCAATCACTCTGGAAATGGTCTTCTTGACTCATTCTTTCCTCTTCTTTCCACCAGAAGCTTCTTCTTCCTCTCTGGGCTCAAGTGTAAACTGCATGGTTTCTTGAGTTGAGGCTCTAGCCTTGTACATTGGAGTCCTCTTTGCAGGTGCCTTCTTGGAAAGGCATGGTTTTGTGGCAGCAGCAGCATACTCTTTCTTGAGTACCTTCTTCTTCGAGGTCACTTCCTCCTCAATTACAAAATCTTCATCCTCAGATTTAGATGTTCTTTTCTTCCTTTGCCTAGTAGCTGCCTTAGGCAAATTGCTGGGAGTGCTCCTACTCCCCTCATCATAGCTACCAGAGGGACTAGTGCCCTCACTAAGGTTGAGCTGCTCTTCAGAATTGTTCTGACTGTCACTGGCCTCTGACATAGCTGGAACTGACCCTGTGAATAGTTGGGTATGGATAGAGTAGATTAGCACCACAAAGTACAACTTATTTTTGCCAAAATTGAGACAAAAACTCAACTTTAGTTTTCTGCAGAAAGAATTTCGGAGCTACCGATTTGAAAAACTCAGTGACACCAAAGCACTAACAGAGTCTAAACATGCAGTTTCGGTCAGACCGAAATGCAGTTCGGTGACTCCGAGATGCTAGCACTGGTGCGCGTCGGTCCTAAACAAACATTTTTAACCCCTTTCCGCGACGGCATTTGGAACCGTCGCCAAGTGAGTGTGTGCGATAGGTTGTCCTTCGCACACGACCCAGAAATCGTTGGGGATAGGCCCTCCTGGGACCCAGGCTGGGGCTGTGTGCGATCGGGCGAGGCATCGAAACCTAATCATTTCCATAGGTATGTACATCCCACACGGTAATCCGAGAAAATCATTTTCGTAGGTATGTACATCCCACACAGTGAATCCCAGAAAAACATTTCTGTTTGTGTGTATATCACACACAGTCAATCCAAGGAATACGTTTCCATTCTTATGTACATCCCACACAATCAAACCAGGGAACACGTTTCCGTTCGGACGTACATCCCACACCGTTTTATGTGTAGGCTCGTGTGTGAAAGGTGTAACTATCACACACAGTTTGCCATGGTTAACTGTTTGCTTTTATCAACTATATCACACACGATTTGATGAAGAAAACTATGTGGCATTGGTCTATCCATCGCAAGCGCTTTTTCTGCTAGAACTGTTTGCAAAGGTCCATGACACATTTAGCAGGTTTATTAGTTTACAATTAATAATTCTAGTATTACGCAAATTCACATTCATATCGAACAATTGTTTGCCAATTTCATATCAGGCACATAAATATATTATAACATCACAGTACGGCAGCCACATGAAAACATCATAGTACAACATATAGCTAGTTCAACTTCATAAGAACAATATATTCATTTCCCTAATCAAGATCATCCAGGCTCGTCTTATCCACCTCTTCTTTCAATTCAGTAAGAAC